TTGCCAAGCTTCTCCAAGGCCAAAAGCTTTTTTTTTTCAAAGTTGAAGTGTTTGACCAAACTTTTAGAAGAAAAAAAATGCTTTTGAGTAGAAGTAGAAATAGTTTGGGAGAAACAGAAAAAAGTAGATTCTCCTTAAAAGTATTTTTTAGAAAAATACACTTAGAAGAACTTTCTAAAAGTTTGGACAAACATTAATTGCTGTTCAGAAATACTTTTCAAATTAATTAGCCAAATATATATTGCTTCCCAGCAAAAGTACTTTTGAGAAAAAATATTTCTCAAAATAAGTTGATTTTAGAAACTTAGCCAAATAAGTTATTTGAAGCACTTGTTAAAAGCTTAGGCCAAACATAATTAGTGTTTTGGGAGGCTTCTAAAATTCGCTTATTGAAAAGTAATTTTCTCAAAAATATTGTGCAAATACTTTTGATGAGAAACATTTTGTATTTGGCTAATTAGTTTGAAAATTATTTTTGAACAACAATTAGTGTTTGGCCAAGCATTCAAAAAGTGATTCTAAGTATTTTCTCAAAAGTATTTTTTTCTAATAATTTACTTTTTTCAGCTTTTCAAAACAGCTTCTACTTCTAATGAAAAGAACTTATTTTTTGTCTAAAAATTTGGCCAAATAAGCTATTAGTGATATCGATTACTCTGCAGTTAAGTGATGTAAAGCGTAGTGTTGCCACTACTTGACTGTAATTCTGATTTTGATCCAATTGAATACTTGAATTTGTACAAGTCAGAATATTAATGTGGATGGTGTAGCTACTTGTCTTACTCAGTTCTATTTGCTGTAGTTTGATGTAGTCATGTAGAAATTCTTTTATTTAACTGGTATATATTCTTGTGCTACATATCGTGATTCATCAAAGGGAAAAATATGAAATGAACATTTACTTTGCTTTGAGCTTTGAAGATTGGATAAACAAAATCCAAGAGAAGATTGTAAAACTGGACACTATAAACAAATTACTGACTCCTTTGTTCAATTGAGACATTCTAACTAGGTAAAAATGGTACAATTATGCAAAAAAAATCCCGACTTTACTTTGAAACATAGTCTTTCAAAATTATTGAAGAAAAAGAAGATATATAGTAATTAGACTGTAGACAAACCTACTTTCCAAGTTTCGTTGCAAATTGCTTTCATTTATTTTGCCCCAACTAGAAACTGAACTATCATTCCACTAGGCATAGAAAATTAATTACGTGATACCTCCAAAAAATTTTATATTGAAATAACATTTCAGGTTTTGGTATGTTAAAGTTGGTATATTAAATTGTCCCATTATATTTTGTGGGGTTGATCTTTGGAGAGGAGAGAAAGCAACGGAAGATTAAGTATCACTCACACACCACTATAGCCTTAGCTTCACCTAAAACTTAAAAGGAGACTAAAAATGGCTCATTTATTATAATTAAGTGAAATAATGATGATTTGCATCCAATTAGTTTATGTCATTATTGGAAGAAGAGTAAAAGTTTATACTGTATTTCACACTTTTCTATCAATATCGGACGGATTGAAAATGCCTGACACGGTCAAAGAGATGTCCAAGTACGTCACCGTCTCATCTAAAAATTTAAGCTGTTAGATAGATCACACTTTTATTTACTTAATTATGTCTTTAACATGCTCAATCACGTGCGAGTAGGGGTGTACATAGGTCGGGTTGGTTCGGAATTTTTCAATTATCAAACCAAACCCAATAAAATCGGGGTTTTCAATCTAAGGTTTTTCGAGTTTTTTTAAAATTTTCGATTTTTTTCCGGTAAAGTCTTTATAACACAAAATATACAATTTGTGCTCCAAATATTTCTTTAGTCCTAGTAAAATACATCTATATAATGTATTTTTCAAAAAAATAATACAATAATATGAGATAAGTCATAGCATTATACTAAAATATTCAATAATAAAGATAATAAAATTACATAAATCAAATATTGCTAATTAATAAGCCATAATAAATATTAACATAATGTAAAAATCATCAGTGGTTGTGAATGACTGATTTTTTCAATCTTTTCGACCTTGGTTTACATAGGTCATGCTAAAATAAATATAGCTAATAAGTACTATTAATTACATAATTAAGCACTAATGAAAGAGATAAACTAAGTTATACATTTTCATTATAAACCAATGTAACACTAAAAAAAAATAGAAATCCAACATTATCTTCATGCCTAATATTGAATTGAAATTTTTTTGTTAGCATTAATATTGATTTGAACTTTGTTTGAGTTACTACATTTATGGGCTATAAAAAAATTAAGAAATATTTATAAATTACATTACAATAAATATTTACATGTATAAAATATTTTTAAAAATTATATAAATGTACTATCGAGTTGGAGAATTCGTCCCAGATAAACTGCTGATCTAGCTCTTTCGCATCGAGGAAAACCCCTATTTCCTCTTTCAGGTTAGGCGCCCTTTGCTCGAACGAAAGAGTGGTCTTTGCCGGGACCGATGCTAGTAGTTAGATTCAATATTCAAAAAGTCTTAAATAGAAGCCAAATCCAGTTGAGAAGAGACAATTTAGTTTTGGTTGACTTTTTTTAGTTAAAACCAAACCAAACTAATTATGCTCCAATTTTTTTCCCCAATATCAAATCAAATCAAACCAAACCACAATCGTATTTTTTTTTCTGGTTTAACTTGGATTATTAATTTTTTGTATACACCCTACGTGCAGCTTGATTCTTTTTGAGGAGTCAAACACGTAAAAAAAAAATTGATATTGGGTGGTCGTGAGACCCGAACCCAAGACCAACTCTAATACCATATTGAAGTGTGTGACTATGTCATCTAAATGTTTAGATATTAGAAAGACCACAATTTTATTTATTTGATTATGTACCTAACGGCTCTACTTTTACTTATGAAATGAGAAAAATGACCTTTATAAGAAGAAAAGAAGGCGCCTTCTATCATTTCTTCTATATGTGTAAAAAAGTTCTTTAATTACAAGTAATATAATTCGAACCCAATAAACTAAATGGGCAATGGTAAAATTTCAAAGTCGAATCCATAAAATTCAAGACATGATTTCGCCTCTTGATTATTTCGGTATGCAGCGGCGGATCCACCCCTTTGAGAAGAGGCAGCATGGCATCCGATAAGATGATAAAGTTTTTATATACTTATGTTGAAATTTTCTTAAATTAGGTTAATTATCTGATTCTGTCACCCGCAACAGTAAACTAGACAAAGGTGTCATGAGTGTTAGATATTTTTGAAAGCTTTTCACGTGGGTAAAATTCAAGTTGGAATTTATTTTAAATTTTATCCAACTTTCCCTTTTCTTTGTGCTTTTATTTCCTTGTCTCAACCATTTCCTTTTCGGCTATCTCCTAATTTTTTATTTGTCATTTTATTATTATTTTCAATTATTTTATATATGGTCTCTAGATAGAACACTCAAAAAGACTCCAAAACTTTAAAATTATATAAAATAAGCACTTCTCTTAATCTTAAATTTATGAGTTTTCATCTTTCAAATCCAAAAAATTTGGGTCTTAATGGAAATTTTTGATTTTTATTATATCACAAAAATGTGTGTTATTTGGTTATTAAATATAATTTAAATCTCTTTACTATTAAATTATGATGAAAAATTCGTGAGTATTGCTTAAAAAATATGAGATTTATGATTTTGATTTTTGAGAAATTATAGTTTATTTAGTTTTATACTTATGGGGTATAATTTATCTATTGAAGAATTTTTAAAAAAATTTCTTATTCTGATTGATGTAAATCTCTTATTGAAAATGTTATCTTACTTGTGTAAATATACAGAAACGATGTAATTTCCTAGTGAAAATATTAATTTTACTTATGTTGTTATAATAAAAGTGTGATTCCTTATTATATTTGTGAATAGAAAATACCTATTAGGTTGAACCGAATAAATACAAAAAAATCGAATAAACGTTTCTAACAAATATTGTATTAGTCATTACAAGGTATACATTAAAGAAAATTATGACACCCATCACCTTTAAATCCTAAATCCGTCTCTGTCTTTACGTTTCAACCTCATGACTTTCTAGATACTACTCATCCAATATACTATGTCTGCCAATTTCACAAAGCTTTTTATGGACTAAAACAAGTTGTCAACGTATTTACCTTGTGCTCTAAAGGGTAATAATGTCACTAAGGATTTGGCCTGCTAAACTAATCCTAAAATATTAAGAATTTTATTGCAGAGAAAAGGCAAATGTCCAATTGATACAAAAACTGATTGACCCTAGTCTACAGAGAAAATATTGCCTTTTCATGTAAAATAGTATATCACGATAAGTTACTATCAAGTTTCGTGATTTTAGCTATATTTTTATCTCTGATTTTCCAATTTTGTCAGTGACACCTTTTGCTAAGAAGCAGAATTGTCCACACTAGACATGACGTGATATAATATCATCATTGTGCCATAATTTTCTGCCACCAAACAGAGCTGAAAAAAGAGAAATTGTTGGTGATTTCTAGGGCGTAGCTCCTTTTATTTTTCTTGGGCCAATTACAATTACCTTTTCTTTAAAATAAAAAAATAACTAACTTTTGGTACTCTTTCCTATTACATGGCGGTAAAAGGTAAGAGAAAATGAAAATCAAACTCAGCTATATTATGTTAAAAACTCCCACCAATATACTGAAGTTTCGTGGTATGATTACATGTTAAAATTTTACAAAATGTTCAAAGACTATATATATANATACAGGAGATATTTTTACTCGAAGTGTAACAATGCAACTTTAATTTTTTTTACCAATACCTCAACATTTAAAAGAAGCTTCACCTTCTCTTGATTTATCTATATCCTTTCGAGAATAATACTACATAACTAAGTCATTAGCATATTAACTCCTTTTTTTTGAATTTTGAATAAAAATCCCCAGACCATCAGCCTTTTAGGGGAAAAAAGATAACACATTACATGGGAAACGACGAAAGGGAATAACAATAATTGAAATCACACATATTGCGTGGAAAACACACAAAACCTCCGCTCCATTAATACCACTAAACTAAAAAAGGACAGCCCGGTGCACAAAGCATCCTGCATTCATGCGGGTCCAGGGTGTGATGTAAATAGCCTACCATTATACAAGCATTAGTATCTGCTTCTACGGCTTGAACTCGTGACATATAGGTCACCCGGAGGCAACTTTACTATAGCTCCATGACTCCCCTTCACTAAACTAGGAGAAAAAAATGAATTTTAGGTCATGGCCTAATTCAACAAACGGACTATACATTAACAAGGAGAAGTAATGCATGGGTCAAATTAACTCTTTTAGGCCCACCAATTTCAACAAAAGTCCACCTGAATAAAGACATTTGATTAGGAAGCAGATTTTGAATTTCTATATAGCATCTCCCACATTTTTCAAAGCAATAATGAATTTAAATTTAATAAGTAATCAAATTAAATAAACATCTCATCACCATGTCTAGTTAGTTATTGTCATGTAAAAGAAACTTGAGGGAGCACACAAATTTAACCAATGAATTCGAAATAACGCCAAAACTCTGCATCAAGCAGCAAGCTTAACTTCAGGAATCAACAGTGAAATGAATGTCCCTTTAAATAGCAAACATGAAGTGAATACCGGACAGCAAAAGGGAAATATCATCAATGGACTCCATGATTTACATAACTTCCATGACGAGTGTTTCACGTCAAGTGGTCGAAAGACAAAAGTAAAACTAAAAAGAGTAAGAAAGAGGCTCAACCTTAAACTGATTCGAGCACTAGGATTTAAGCCGAGGGTCATCGGAACAGCCTCTCTACCTTCACAAGGTAGGGGTAAGGTCTGCGTACACACTACCCTCCCTAGACATCACTTGTGGGATTACACCGAGTTTGTTGTTGTTGTTGTTGTTGAGCAGTAACTAGGATGTGTACCTCTGCTAAAATTTGAACAATGCAGAGAAAATTTGTATGGCCCCTGTGCAAAGATAACGCACAGAGAAATGGTCCAAAAAAGAAGCAGAGTTACCCCTACCTTGGTCCAATAAAGCAAGTATAAACATACTGCAAGACAAGAAAGAACAATACATATTTCTGGTGTCCACATAAAGCCACATCAAGGCTAGTGTTATCAAAGGTGACAACAACAACAACAACAACATACCCAGTATTATCCCACACCGTAGGATAAGTGTAAACATACTGCAAGACAAGAAAGAACAATACATATTTCCAGTGTCCACATAAAGCCACATCAAGGCTAGTGTTATCAAAGGTGACAACAACAACAACATAACAACAACATACCCAGTATTATCCCACACCGTGGGGTCTGGGGAGGGTAGTGTGTACGTAGACCTTACCCCTACCTTGTGAGGATAGAGAAGTTGTTTCCAATAGACCCTCGGCTCAGAAAAGCATAAGCACTACATTAATGAAAATATAGACAAGAAGGGGCAGTACTAAAAAGCCATATAAAAGCAAAATAAAAACAACAAGATAGTAAGGTGATCAACAATGAAAGAAAACAACGGTTAGTCATAAAAACCTACTACCAACAGAAAGCTAGACTGCATGTCAATACTACTGTTATGAACACTCTAGACTACCTACTCTACTACCCTAATCCTCAACCTCCATAACTTCCTATCAAGGGTCATGTCCTCGGTCAGCTGAAGTTGCGCCATGTCTTGCCTAATCACCTTTCTTTGGCCTACTTCTACCTCTCAGTAGGCCCTCCAATGTCAACCTCTCACACTTCCTCACCGGGGTGTCTGTGCTCCTCCTCCTCACATGACCAAACCACCTAAGTCGCGCGTCCCGCATCTTGTCCTCAATAGTGTTATCAAAGGCGAAAAGCGTAAAAAAGTGTTATGGTCTATTGGGGCTTTAAGCGCAAAGCGCAAATAAAATGTGTGCTTTAATGAAGAAGAAAGTATAAAAATATATGTATAGTCCAAGACTAATGATCACAAGTATGAATAACAAATATATGGATAAAGAAATTGAAAAAACTACAATAAAGTGAAATATTAACTGTTCAGTGTTGGCTCTTCATGGCTCTTCAGGATAGCGTTCATTGGCAAAGGGAAGTATGCCTTAGAGCCTTGATGATGACACTGAAGCGTCCGCTAAGCAACACGAAGAAGTGCTCAACATGTTTTGCACCTCACTTTAGGGCTTAAGCACGCTTTAAGCGCTCCATTGAGAGCAGTCAAGACAAGAACATAATAACTGCAAAAAAACATCCAACAAATGTTCCAGGAAACAATTGCAATAATAAAGAATTCCTGCCTCATCTCGAATTGTGCTCACTAACCTAGTATTCTTGCAAACCTCTTTCGCATCTATACAAGGATAAGGATCTACACCAGACCTTGCTGTCATGGGTCATGTTTATTTATCTCTAAGGCAGTGAATTTTTACTTTTTTTCCCCTGGAGAACAGATGTGGTGATGAATACAACCAGGCGTGGTCGGCACTCAGCCCTTCAGATTTTCAATGGGGCACCGGGCCCGCACCAGACACCATGTAACATGATTAAACATGGTGTTACGGTACAGGTCTTATCAGACAACAAAACACCATAAAGAAATATTCTAAAGCGCTGATGGTTAGACTTGTTCAAAGCTAGATATCTTTGAAAAGGAAGGACCAAGTGAAGTTTTAAAAAAAACCACTAAACCCACAGGGTAAGGTTTATACTAGATGAGATCATGATTTAAAGCAGATCCAAACATTCAACTATCGATTGAAAAAAAAAGGGAACGTTGGCAAGCAAAGTCATTCCTGAAACTGCTCTTTACATATCTGCTACTCTATAGCAGCAAAGTTTCACATGCAGTCTCTGTGTTTTCCACCTAAAAGTCACAACACATATAAAGCACAATTTTTTGGATAAGGACAACTCATATCAAGCACATATTGTTAGAAATTCCAAAAGTACTAAGAAAAAATCACAAAGCATAATTCGCCCTTTCGTTCTTGATTAAATGAACTATGACATTACATCATTCAAGAACCTGCTGATAATCAAGGAGCCTGAGCACCATTCTCCTCACTTACAAAAAATTTCCTTTTCTGACCCTAATAGCTAATCCGTAACTGATATAACAACCAATCTATGCAAAGCAGACAAACTAAATCAAAACATCTAGTAAGCTAAAACCATTAACAAGCTAATAACATATAAAGTAAACCATTTTCCACCATACCTCTATCATCCAATCTTGAACTTCAACAGAACCAAGCCTTATTCTATTCAACTTTTCGATCCAGCTCTCTCATTCTCCACCTTCTGCGCAAAAACCTTTGTTGCGATCATATTCTCATCGAAATACCTAGCATAGGGATGGCCTTGAGGTACAAGTCTCCGATACTTCTCGAAACACTTCTCAGCCTCATTGCTTTTCCTCAACAATGTGTATATTATACCTTGACACAAATAAGGCCTAAAATCCCTAGGCTCCTCTTTAACTAACTCCCCATAAACTTTCAATGCATCTTCATATTTCCCTTGGATCACTCGAATTTGTGCAAGCAATAGCTTAAAATCCCTCAAGTCGCTTTTTTTATTCTCCTTTTTACACATCTTCATCCCCTGCTCAATCTTTTTCTCAATCCCCTTCAAATCTTCGATCGATTCATCTTGCGACACAGCCATAACCAGCCCATGATACGCCTCGACGCGAAAAGGGTCATTTTTTAATATCTCATTGAACCCAACTTTGGCCAATTCAACCTCACCAATGTTAACATACAAATGGGATTTCATCAATGGCCATTCGGATTCATTCGGTTCCACTTCAATCAACTTATCAATAATACCAATAGCGTCAAGCATTTTCTTGTTCTTTATCTTAATTTCCATCAAATTCCTTAATGCTACCACGTCATCCGGGTTCGAAACCAAGTGTTCCTCAATTGCCCTTTCTTTTTCCTCCTCTGAAACTGCTTCTCTCGTATCAGTTTCCACAGCAGCAGGAGGAGGAGCAAAATTCTGAGCAGAAATTGAAGGTTTTGGGAAAAAATAGAATCTTGAAAAGATAAGGGCAGTGGCAGTAACTGTAGCAACGAGTGTGAGTTTGAGGAATGAGAATGGGTTTTGGGATTTTTCATTAGGGTTTTGAGGGATAAGGGGTTTAGGGTTTTGCGAAGAGGAGGCTTTCATGGAGAAGAAAGAGGTGGAAAATGGTGGGGGTGGGGTTCTGAAAGAGAGACAAGAAATGGGTTTAGCATAAATTGGACGATTAAAATGGTGATTGAATTGTTTGTGAATTTGGTTTGTTTTGGAACAGACAGGGTTTAAGGTTGTCATGTCGTTTATGAGGTTTGTGAAGAAGAGTGTAAGAAAAAGGTCTTAAACCCTAACGATAATGGTGGATTTTACAGTCTAGTCTAGAGAGAAAGCTTGATAAAAGAAGTTTTGCGCTTGTTAAGGTTGGGCCTAATAGACTAAAACTATTGGGCTTTTGCTTTAGGCCCGTTAAGTGACTAGACTTAGAGATGAGCCACGACTTTGGGCCTGTGGAGAGTGGCCTCTCGAAGTGGGCGAAGTGCTCAAATTGAGATTTTTTCTTTCCTATACAATATTTGAAATTTATTTATCAAAATTGTCCAAGTTTTGTATATTACCCGCCCTAAATAAGTTTTCCTTACAATCAATTATTAGTAACTTAAATTGAGTGTTTCAGTTACATCTTTTTTCCTTTTTTTCTCTCCTCTTTCCCTATCCTCTAACCAACCAGTGATACTGTAACTTTGGTGCTAATTTTCATACCAAAATTCAACCAAATTATTCCAATCAAATCCCATATTCTGATATCTAAACAATAATTAATCTAAATACCCAATAGAAAAAGCATATCCTCAGCTACGTAATGCATGTATTTACGATGTACTGCACAAATCTAGGATTATATTGCACAAATAAAATATAAATTAATATCAGAGAGAGGTGATGATAAAAGATTTTTTTACCATATTACCAGAGAGTGATAATGCGCAGTTAATATGTATATACAATATAAAACCTATACAATAATCTGGGTGGAATGTATAGGTAATTTTCTATATTTACATATTGTATTTCTATAAGAATTGCTACTTTTGATGGAGGAGTAAGAAAGAAGAGAGAGGAAAGGTTTGTGTAATGTGGTATGTCCGTCTTTATGATACATCTATAACAATATACTATAAACTAAAAACAGATTTCATACAAGTAATTATACAATACACAAATTTTTTATAACTTATCTACAACTTTCTTATACCATTTTTACCTAGGTAAATACAACTACAACATCATACAACTTAAACATAATTTTCATACAAATTTTATACAATATGTCTTTTGTCTGTATTTTGTATATATTTTGTAATTGGTGTGTTCTTCCTCTCTAAGATTCCAATCAAAACTTCTTCTCTTAAAACAATTTTGATACGTATCAACAACTTTATGTAAGAAGATAGTATTTATAACTTAAATACAAATTTCATACAACGATTCATATATTGTACAACTATTTTTCAACGTTCATACAACATTCAAATAAAAATATAAATAATTACAACAGAATACAATTTACATACAATTTTAATACAATTTCGTACGTATATTGTATGTCATGTGTTCTTCTTCTTCTCCTCCTTCTTCTTCTTCTTCTTCTTCTTCTTCTTCTTCTTCTTCTTCTTCTTCTTCTTCTTCTTCTTCTTCTTCTTCTTCTTCTTCTTCTTCTTCTTCTTCTTCTTCTTCTTCTTCTTCTTCTTCTTCTTCTTCTTCGTCTTCGAGTTTCAATCTAAAATTCAGCCAAAATCAAGTTTAATCTTTACCAAATACCCTCAAAATTGAGATATAAACTCCAAAGAATATTCTCAATTGTTTGCAACAATATCCAATCCGAACCAACAATAGTTTTTGAAAACTCAAATTCGAATTCAAAGATTTGAAGATTTTTAATGGTTTCCAATGGTGGAGAATCAAACACCTTAAAAAAAATTATTGACAACTTCAATTCGAACACCAATTGTACAATATGAAAGAAAATTGCTAGAAAAAAAAAGAGAAAAAGCAGAGAAAAACGAAGGAAGAAAAATTGAGAAATAACATAAGAGAGAAAAAGAGAGAGAGAGACGGGGAGAGAGTCGGAGAGAGAGAGAAAGAGAGAGCAGGGATGGGAAATAAATAAATCCCTATTCAATTCCTAATATAAAGGGATACTCTTCAATACTAATTGTATATGCCCATATAATTAAGTTAAAACTTGATTAGGGAGGATAATAAAGTTTTATATGTAATATAAGAAGGTAAAAATCCCCAAATAGAAATAGGAGATTTTTATGGGGATATATACTGGGTTACCTGTAGAAACCAAAATAATTATGCGACCCTACCCATATAATATTTCGGTATACATTTCTGTATACATGTATACTATTATAGTATGTTGTTGCAGTATAACTATAAACTCTATTAGTATACTCTTACAGTATATTGTGATACAGTAGCGGTATACTATTGCGTAATTGTGTTTTAATTTAAATTTCTATTGAAAATTGCATATATTTATAGTATATTATTTCGGTATATATGTATACTATTACAGTATATTATTGCAGTATATTATATACTATTACAATATATCTTGATACAGTAGCGGTATATTATTGGGTAAATGTGTATTTATTCAAGGTTTAGCTGGAATATTGCATATTATTATAATATATCATTTTGTTAGCTCTTTGTTTTACAAAATAAAATCATATTTTATTCGTTTTTCCTTATCATTAGATCGTGTATCATATAATAATTCCTTGTAAAAATAACCCGCAGAGTTAGTTAATCGCAGTATGTGGTTAGGGGCGGATGTAGCCTTTCGGATACGAGTTCAACTAAGCTCATAACTTCCGACGCGGAGTATGAATTTATATTAAAAAAAACTATTAAAATCTCAACAAGCATTAGATTTGAACCCATAATTTTAACAGTATAATGAGTTTACTGTAATCTTAAAAACTGAACCCATTCAACTTAAATCTTGGATACAACTCTATATGTGGTTGAAGAGTTAACTTATCCATGGAGTTCATTAACGAGACGTTTTTGGATCGGGGGATCTTGATCTATGAATGCATGAAAAAAAGTACAAAGAAGCTCTTGAAGCCTTCCAACAAAAGCACATATGATGAAGAAATGAATAATCTGCAATATAGTAAAAAATATAAGAGGACCAACAATGGTTGTGGTGGAGTGGTAAGTACTCCTTCATCCTTAAGCAGATATCTCGAATTCGAGTCCCTAGATATGAAGTCGTCTTTGTTAGGGAGCGCTTTACCTCCCAATGTGGGACTTTCCGGCGTGAATCCGGATGTAGTCTGGCCCCAATGTGGGTATCAGACACTCGATGAAAAAGCAAAAAAAAATAGAAGAGAAAAAACACAAAAAGACAAAAAAGTGTTCAATTGGAGAAAGGGAAAGTTAGGAAAAAATTAGGAAAAATAGAAAAAAACAGGAGAGAGAAACACACAAAAGTGATTATTAATTTGATTTCTTCTCTCACTCTCCCATAAACAAAAAATAACTTTAATCTCTTGGAGATTTCCCCTTTTTTTCGCTATTTCATGATTCATCTTCTCATTCTCCATTTTATAGTCCAAAACTCTGGATACTCAGTAAATACCTTAGAGGTATTCTATACATGGTTTAAATTTTTAGTTGTTTTCTTTGTTACTAATGTATTAATATATATTATTACAAAGATCAAAAGCGCATATATATATATATATATAGGTATAATATTTTCTTTAGAGAAATACTATGTTTTATAATGGTATTAAGGTATAACATTATATATAACTAGTATAATGATGTTTTCGAGAAATACTATGTATACTAATGTAATAATATACCTTTGATCTTTTTAATAAGAAAGTACTCCCTGGTATAATAATGATATGAAATTACATGATTTATAATGTATATATACCTCAAATATACATTATATCTTTTATAAAATAAATATATTTTATTTTTTCAAAATATAAAGATGTAAACTTTCGGTAGAGTTTATGTTGTATAAAACGTTATATATACTTTTTTCTAGTAAAAAGATCCATGTATGGAAAGTAGCAAACCTGTTATGGAATGAATTAGTTTCCAACAAAAAAGTAGAAAAAGATATTACCATTTAAATATGTTAGGGATTGATTTCAAGAGAAAATTCAGGAAAAAATATTAAAAAGTGCTAAGAACGTTTTCAGTAAGGAAATAAATGCATTAGGTGCGTGATTTAAAGGTATCTGCTAGGAATATAATTATTTAGTTGTCATGTGTGTAAAATAGCTATTGTTGCTATGTTTCGGAAAAAAATTCCTTAAATTTTGCCTATTCATGTTTTTTGCTCCACAAATAGTCGTTTTTAGGACCCATTTAAAAGATAATGCAAAATTTATAAAATTTTTGAAGTTTATTCGCTTAAGGATTTACTTTAGACATATGGGGGTTTGAAATTGCAATCACAAGTCTGAAAAATCCGGATTCAAATTTTCGGGTAAGAAGTTAGCTCTTCCAAAGCCTAACGTCTAACCTAAGTCTAAATTTGAAAAGTTCGAATTCTCGTGAAACTCTAAAGTTAGGCTTTAGTAAAGCCCAACTTCATACCAGAAGGTCGGATTTGAACTTAAGCTTTCAAACTTCAGGACTTCGGGTATTAAGTTAAGCAGCAGCAACAAGCTCAATTTAAAGCTTGCTTAGCTAAATTAAAATTGAACTTTAAATAGTTTAAAAATAAAAACTGAATATGTTTTCTATTGTGATGATAAAGCGGGCTATGTGGCGTCATTTCTTCTCGAAGTTGTATTGCCGATCGGTTCAACAAGTTATGAACTGTAATGTAGGAATTAGTAGTGTAAGGATTATAATCAGAGGCGGAGTTAAGATTTCAAGCTTATTAGTTTGGAATTTTAAGGATTTTAAGTTAATGGATTCTAAATTAGTAATTTGTAAATAATCAATGAATTGTTCAAAACAAATATAGAGATTGAACCAAAGTTACTTGGATTCGCCGAACTCGTAGCCAGAACACTAGCTTCATCCCTGATTATAACGCTATTTGTTTGTTATTTTAAAAGGAAAATTATGAAACAAATATGAAGAGTGTGACGGGTTTTATTGTTTGTTTATGTTAATCCATATACTACCAACAGTTAGTATTCTTATTTCACATTTTACCTCGCATAACATAATAATAAATCGCATAACTTATCATATTACTTTTTGCCACAAGCTTCCCAGGGAAGGGAAACCGTAGATATTATTTAGTTAAAACCAAGGGAAAAGTGATAAAGTTCCTTTCAATTTATGTCACGAGCTGAACGTTGTTACAATACAACAACAACAATAACAACCCAGTATAATCTCACTAGTGGGGTCTGGGGAAGGTAGTTTGTACGCAGACCTTACCCCTACCCTGGAGTAGAGAGGCTGTTTTCGATAGACCCTCGGTTCCCTCCCTCCAAGAACTCTCCATCTTGCTCTTGGGGTGACTCGAATTCACAATATTGATTGAAAATAGTGATCAATGTGAAATTTAAAAGGTTCAGCAGTTAACGAGTGAGTTAATGTATTTACAAAATTAGATTAAAAAAGTAAAAGAAATCGATCTCTTAATTGCCCCCTATCAATCATTCACATGCATGACTCATGAAATCTCATCTTTGATGACAGAGTACAAAAATACATAAAGCATATATACTGCTATATCTCAAGTTGCAGCCAAGAATCTGCAAAATGAAAAGTTTAATTTGAATAAGATGGCAAGAATTACATGATTTTACAATCACACTTCTTTGGAACTCTCATGATTTTTCACATCAAGATTACAAACTATAAATGAAAACTTTAAATTTAAATATGAAGTTTGCAAGTAAATGCAATCTAGCCTGTCACATGTTGGCAAACAAGATCCTATATATTGTGAGATGTTGTTTCTAAGTATTCTCAAGTTAATGTATGCATGAATCCGACCTCGTAGTTAAATTTTATTTGTAGGATCGGACTTGATATATAGCAAGTATCCTATCCTTTTCTCACCTAGGGTGGTTTCCTATCATTGAGACCTTTTCCACTACATAAAGTTAGGATGCGACGACATCTTTTAAATGTCTTTTTAAAGTCACATAAATGTCATAAAATAAATTATTTGATACTTAATTAAATCAAATGTCGTAAATTTCAATGTCGGAAATTTTTCGAGATTTACATTAATGTCAGCAAATAAATAATAGTAACATTTATTTACTACGCTTATCAAGTATTACGAGTTCATTACTCAAATGGTCACTTAACTATCACAAGTTATCTGCTAAAGTCATTTTTTTTTCTTTTGTAACAACAAAGTTACTTAACTATGCCTGTAACACTTAGACAGTCACTCAACTAGATTTTTTAAATTTTGAATTGTCAAATACATGTTTTACCCTCTAAATTATAAACATTTATCTTCTTTTTATTTTTTTTAAATTTTTAATATTATGATTTTTTCCTTTTTAATTTATATTATGGACTTACCTATATAATAAATAAATTTTATTTATAAATTAAAAAAAAGTATTTAAGCATATATAATGCTGGAATAACAAACTAATGAGCATAATAAAAAAATTAATTAGAATAATATGTTCGTAATAATTTTAGTATTAACAACAAAAAATAAAAAAAATATTTACACGATTGAGAGTGAAAGAAAATAAAGGTTGTACAATATATATTCCATGCACGTAATATAAAAATAATTATTTAAATAAAGGTATTTTTATAATATACATTATATATGGTTGAAATTTATGCTTATATTATTATTCTGTCATTATATGAGCTGAAAATTATTTTTTAGTTTTTATTTTATAAATAAAATATATTTTTCTATAGGTAAGTCCACAATGTAGATTAAAAAGAGAAAAAACTTACAATATTTAAAAAGTTAAAAAAAATTGATAATTTAGAGGGTAAAATAGGTATTTGACAATTAAAAATTTAAAAAATCTAGTTGAGTGACCTTCTCAGTGTTATATGCATAGTTAAGTAACTTTGTTGTTACAAACGACACAAAAGTGACTTTAGCGGATAATTTGGGATAGTTGAATGACCATTTGAATAATGAACTCCAAGTATTACAAATTTTGAGTTTTAACACATTCTTGTTGTGACATATAAAGAAATGTCGGCAAATCATACCCATCCTTGTTATACATACATAGAAACGTCGGGAAATTATCTCTAATTAATCAATAGCTTTTTTCTTCGGCCTTTGATTTAATTATATAAATAATATAAGAACAAGAAATAAATAATCTCGTATATGCGATCTTATTTTATATGCATTTGCTTTCTAACTCGTCTTTCTTTTGGTCGATTCCCGATTGAGCTCCTCGATCAATTAGGTCCAATTGAGTAACGGTGATCTTCTTCTCTTTACTTTAATAGTGAGTTTATCTTCTTAGACTTCTTCCTTCGTTATGCCTTGTCTAATATCTTAATTATTTTCGTTTTCTTTGGAACTATTCTTTCCAAGAAACTCTTGAAATTATATCTTTCAATACTGGAACTCCACTCAACTAGTTGGGATAATAAGCTGTTTACTTTGCTCATATATTTTAATTTGTCACACAGATATATAATTCAAGTCTAAAATAATTGATTTTGAATACACACAACTCGTTTAAAATCCATCGCTTAAAAAGAACCATAAACAAAGAGAGATAATTAACATGCATGGACTAATACAACGAATCCACGTGGACGAACAAGGCAATGCCAACTAAGACAACAGGCAATTACGTGTCAAACAGTTTTGCTAGTCAACATCACACACCCCAACAACTTTATTTCATATATGGTAGGAATAAGACAACCTAGGACCACCTTACCTTTGAACCCTATCTCTTTGTTTTATTACCCTAAACTAGATAGTAGATACAACCGTTTGAAAGTATACATCAAACATCATTTTCCTAAGATCGACGTTGATCAATAATGGAGAATAGAGAGGAAGGCAGCCATTCTGAAAATTCTACTAATAATTGTTGTCACTTGTCAATGGAATCTGTAGAGGAAGAATCCAACATTAACATATTATGGATTCTTTGTCTTGTCGTCTCCAATTGTGATTCTGCTGATGATGATTTTTCCTCTCTCGTTTTATTGTATGCCTCAAAGAATTCTTTGTTCTCCTTCTCCAACTCCTTCCACACTGCATACATACAATTGATTAAAACTAAACCAACTAGAACAGTCTAAGAACTTTCTTTTGAAATGAAATATAATATAGCTAAAATAGTCTTGGAATTTCTTATCTCATGCCCAGAAAGAAAATGGAAAAGAACAAAACTCCTATACATACTAAATAATACTAGTAAAGGACTGTTCGGTGAATTACGTTTTTGCTATTTGGTCTGGGGAATGACCGGATCACAAGAGTTTATTGTATGCAACTTGGCCTTACATTTAGCTATTTTCACGGCTCGTGACCTCCCGATGATACAACTTTACCAGTTACGCCAAGACTCTCATTCACATACTAAATAATAATAATAACAGCATTATTTGGAAAGATTTTTATATCTTCAACATATTCAAATATATTTATCACTTCTACTCTAAAACTAAGCAAACATAAAAATGCCATTGATCAGAAAATGTATGCTGGTTTAATGGAAAGTTTATCCTGATCAGAAGCCCAAAATAAACCAAACAAATATCCACTCATTCCCCCGTGCACATGTTTTCTTCCTAATCAAACTCATATTGTTCGAGTGTGAGTTTGAACTTTGCTCAACTTCTCAGGCAAATGAAGCTTTAGACAAAATAAGTATTAAAAGGGAAAAGAATTATGAATTTATCTTTATACATAACTTTTGTGCAATCAGTATATTTTAACATGTCGAATAAAATTACTTAATCTTTCAATAAATTAATTCCAATACCCCTTCGCCGAAACAACTCACTAAACAAATATGTAAATAATATATAGGTTATAATTGCTCTAGTTATATAGATGACCATATATACAATAAGAAAAGTGTACGTTCAATTGAAGAAAAAGAAAACATAGACTGTCATTAGTATTGAAAAAATAATAGAAACTCATCGAGAATAATTGTATTAATGTATTTAAATATATTTTATTTGTCTTTGTTGCAATAATTTTCTTATTTGTTTTCTTCTTTAAATACGACACCACTTGCGCAAAATTATGTGGTTATATTATTGTACCTAGCCCCTTTTCCCCTCTCCTCTCCTCTCCTCTCCTCCAACCCANAGTAAAAAAAAAGGTTTTAAAAAAAGCTGGTGAATTTACCCGTGGAAGTAATAATAGGCTGGATATTTGCATGTTTGGCCAGTGCTTCCATGCATTCTTCTCTGCTCATTTTGAATATTATACACTCTTCTATCAAGTGCTGCACCTGCATTAATTCACCACACCTTTCTTAATTAATTAGTAAATTTAAGTATTTAACCCCCATCTTTAAAATCACCTGCCTAAACCTTAATTACCACTGAAAAAAAAATGTATAGGAGTAGAAGAAGATGATGATGATAAAGAAGAAGAAAATTTGCCACGTTTAAAAAATATTTTATACTATCAAGTAAGTCTTTTTAAAATATGAGATTTATAAATTTTTTTTTAAAAAACAAAAAACAAATTACATGTTACAACAGATAAAATGATCTGATGATATAAGTATCTTAAACTCTAAGGAAATTATTACTTACAAGAGAAGATGCTAAAACTTACCATGTGGATGTATTGAGCAGAAGAGTCACTCATTTCTATCCAATTACTCAAGAAATTAAAAAGAACTTTTAAATGAAAATTTGAAAATCAAGAACTCTCTGAGTTACTTTTTTTTTTTTTTGTATCAAGAAGAGGGGAACTGGAGAATCATTTGCGTAGAAACTATATTTGGAGAGCATGAGAAAGATGGAAAAAGGGATAAAGAAAGAAAGAAAGTAGGGTTTATTGGTAGAAGAAACAACTAGATTTTACTATAAAAAGAAAAAGGCTAAAGCTACATTTGGGGTGTAAAACTTTTCGGCAAAGGTGGGCATATGTTAGTGACAGGAGAAAACAAATATGGTAATATTTGTATTTTATAATGGAAAATGATGCTATCCGTCCAAAATAATTAGTGACTGGATACAAGGATCAAAAAAACAATTTTTTTAAAAATAAATCAAGCACAATTTATAAAGAAATATCATAAATTACATCGTTTAGCTAAAATACATTTAATTAGAATTACGAAAATAATAAGAAATAAATAAAATTATTTAAATCCTTAAATAATATTACTTGTGATAATAAATCGAGTAATTGTTTTAGCAAACTGAACTCGCTTCATGTTTATTTTTCCAAATCATTCTTACTGTTCATTTACTAGAAGCTTTAACAAACACAATAACATACTCAGTGTGATCCTACAAGTAGACACAATTCTAAGATTTGAACTTTATGGATTCAAATTCGTAACTCTATCATATCTCATTTAATTTAATAAATTTAAAATTTATTATCTATACATATTTAATAATTTTTTTGGCGAAAGTATAGGTCATACGTAAAAGTTATGAGTTCAGATAAACTTATAGCTTCTACGTTAAATACCCCCTGTCCACAAGTAGTATATGAAGGGGATAAGGTGTACTTAGATTTTACCTCTATCTGTTGTGAGGTGGAAGATCAATTAAATGATATTTACAAAGAGATTTAATGGCTAAGACTATCAAATATTCTTCTTATAAGTGATGTATCAAAACTTTAAACGAAAGCATGCACACGAGGAGTATTCATTGCGGAGAGAGGCTACATATATTGCTCCAAAAAAATTACATAACTGGAGTTTTAAACTATAGATTGTTACACAAATAACCAGCTAGATTGAATATTTATTTTTTCTAATCGATATATATAAATTATATAATAATTATATACAGTTATACATAAATTATATATCCGTTGATTATTTTTAATTTAAGGGATTATGTAGACCATTATTTAGTTTAATTTTTCACACTAAGGTAGTGCCCACGTGGTACGAAACCTATGACTTGTCATGGGATTAGGGCAGATTTTATGAGCAAAGGCCACGTGAAAAGCTAAACCCACAGATCCCCTGTTTGGCCCAAAACCGGTTCCTTGAATGGGCCCACCTGCTCTTATAAAACCAGTGGGCCCTACGACTAAGCCCAGAATGGTAGAAGCTCTAGGTCACGTGGAATGCCGTAATCTCTTGGAAATTTTATATGATAGAACTAAATAATACACCAATAAAATAAAATACTTTTAAAATATTATTATTTATAGCCACTTTTTATATTTTATAGTAAAGTACAAATATATACAATTGGTCCCTCAACTTTTTCGTCAACCCTCTCTCTTTTCCTTCCTCAACTCTCTCTCTTTTTCCCCTCAACCCTCTCTTTCTTTTCCCTATATTTTTTTTGCTGCCGTCCAGCTCTACCGGATCCCAACTAAACATCAGCCTCCCTCTCTCTTCCCTTCACTCATATCCATCATCAGATCCAACCGTCTTTCTCTCTTCTCTTCTCTTCTCGCCTCTTCTCTCTTCTCCACCGTCAGATTCAAATATGAAAATCACAAAGTCGCAATGGGTCCATTATCGGCTGTGGAAACAATGGAGGAGGAAGATCGGAGTCACCAGATCTGGATCTGACGGAGATGCCGGAATCCATGGCTTCTTCTCCTATTTTGTATCTCACATCTGAGTGTATTCGACTGATCAGATTTTGGTAAATACAATGTGATATTGTATTATAAAATATGGCCAGATTTTGTTCGTCTCTATTTTACTTTTAATACAATATATAAATAATTTTGCTTGGCCGGAAGACGTCATCTACGACGAACTTTCTTCTCTTCTTTGCTATTGAGTCACATACAATGATACAAATATAATGTATTATATACAAATACACTCAAATTTATGTGTAATATGTATTTTTTAATGCAAATAAAGTTTATTTTTTATATTTTCGCATGTATTTATGTATTCCAAAGGTTATTTGTAACGACCCAACCGGTTGTTTTGAGTACTAACTTCCTTTTCTGTGTTTCGAGACCTCTCATAGCTCATTTGATAATTCATGACTTGGGTGCGTGCTCTGTATCATTTTTCGGAAAGCTTATATGTGAAATTTTGAAGAAAATATGATTTTTGACTTTAATAGCGACACTGAGTTGACCACGGTCAATGTTTTTTTTGTAAACGACCTCGGATCGGTATTTTGACGATTTCGGTAGGTTCGTATGATTTTATTGGACTTGTACGTTGTGATGACCCGATAGGTCATTTTTAGTTTTAGCCCTCATTTCTGTGTTTCGAAACCTCAATCAACTTTGTTTAGCTTTTTTCGATTTACGTGCGCAATCTGTGTCTTCTTCCGAAAAGTTTTTATGTGAAAAATTGAGAAAAATATGAAATCATGCCTTAAAATTTATTTGAGTTGACTTCGGTTAATGTTTTGAGCAAACAGACCCAGATCAATATTTTAACGATCCCGGTGGGTCCGTATAGTGATTTGAGACTCGGGCGTATGCCCGAAATCGAATTCGGAAGTCCCGAACTTGAAATAATGCAATTTGTTGAAAACTAGAAATCTAAAGGTTTAAAGAATTCATAAGTTTGACCGTAGTTTGACTTTATTGCTACCGGATTCAGATTTTGGTTCCGGAACTTGGTTTATGTTCGTTTCAGTATTTATGACTTGTCTGTAAATTTTGGTGCAAAACGGAGTTGATTTGACGTGATTCAGACGTCCGATTGAAAAATTAAAAGTTCTTAAGTCTCTTTGAAAATTTCATTTATTTTGGTGTGCGATTCATAGTTCTAGGTATTATTTTAGTATTTTGATTGTGCGAGCGAGTTCGTATGATGTTATTACACTTGTGTGCATGTTTGGTTTGAAGCTTAAGGGGCTCGGGTTAGTTTCGGATAGGCTACCGAGTGATTTTTGAACTTAGAAGAGTATTGGTGCATCAGGTCTGCATATATTGCATTTGCGAGGACCTGATCACAAATGCGAGTTCATGCTCGCATATGCGAAGATGGTGGGGGCTGGGTCAGCTTCGCTTTTGCGAAGTGAAGTCTGCAAATACGAAGGGGGCAGGTTCGCATTTGCAAACTATTGAGTCGCATTTGCGACTACGGGAAAACTGAGGCACACTCGCATTTGTGAGTCGATTGTTTGCATCTGCAGCGACCTTGGTTCACATTTGCGATGAAATTGTCGCATTTGCAACGACAACATGCTCAATGACTTCTTTGCTTTTGAGAGGGGTTGGCCGTTTTTGCGATTATCGTAATTGCGAACCTTGTATTGCAATTGCGATAACTGCAACTGGATAAAAGAGGGGGGAAACAGGATTTAGCTCATTTCTTTCAAACTCTCAACCCTAAACACTAGGCGATTTTTCCAAGATAATTTCTTCCTAAATTCATTGGTAAGTGACTTTAATCTACTTTTATTCAATTACCCATAACATTTCATAAGTTTTCAACATTAAATATAGGATTTTCATAGTAGAAATTAGGGATTTGGGAAAGATTAGAGATCTTCATAAATTTGGAATTTAGACCTCGAATTGAGGTCGAATTTCAAAATAAATCACATAACAGGCTCGGGGGTGAATGGGTAATAGGATTTTGGTCCGAATCTCGGATTTTGACCAAGCGAGCTCGGGGTTGACTTTTTCAATAATGACCTAAATTGAACCTCTTTCATTCGTGAGTAGTTCCTAAAGCTTATTTTGAATTGTTTGGTCAATAAATTGCTAGATTTGGTTAGTTTAGAGGCTTGTTCTAAAGGCAAGATCGTGGTTGAACCTTGAGTTGCTTGTGGAGTGAAGTAAGTATTGGGTCTAACCTTGATTTGAAAATATTAGGAACCCTTAAGCTATGTACTATGTGAATTACATGTGTTGCAGCGTATATGCGAGGTAACGAGTGTATAACTGTGTATACACCGTCAAATTACATGTTTTCATGCTTTCCTGGATTACTTGTTTCCATGACTTAACCGTTACATTACTTGTTTTCCCTATTTTCATTGCTTAATATTATGACTTGTCTTCATCCCTTAATTGCTACATGCTTATTTTGACTTTCATGCCATAATTGCTACTTGCCATTTAGCATTTCTTGTATTAAAATATCCATCCCCTCCATGATTCCATACTTATTCACTACTTGTCTCGATTTGTTTCCCTCATATATCTAAATTGTCTTATGACTTATAGTTTCGTATTAATTGTTGCCTTCATTAAAGTAGTTTCACTTGTATGTGTTGTTAAAAGTAGATACCATTGAGTTGGTAAAGTTGAGATATCCGAGTAGTTCGAGCCTCGTGATTATCATGTTATTCTCCATTGCTCGTACATTTGTCCTCTTGATGTATGATTTCTTGTAAATCTTAGTTATTGAGTTACTATTGTTAATTGACATTGTTTGGGTTGCACGCCGCAACGAAAATTGAAAAGAAATGAATTGAAAAGGCGGAATAAGGATGGACTATGATATTGACAGATGATTATATGGAGGGGTTGGGTTGCGTGCCGCGACAGATTTGTTTAAAGTTTATATTGTGGGATCGGGTTGCATGCCGTAACATGTTGATGAAAGTTATATTTGTTGTGATTGTTGAATTGGCATCGGTTGTTGAGATGAGTTATATGACTGGTTATTCAGGACTCTCTACTGGTTGATTTGAGTCTCATCACTACTTCGTGGAGGTTAGGCTCGGCACTTACAGAGTTGGTCCTAACGGCGTACCGTAAACTTGCTCGGATCCAGCTACCCAGAAGAGACTTGAGGTATAGCTGCACGACGTCCGTAGCTCCGAAGTCCTTTTCTACTTCTTTTAGTTGTTCATTTTATTCAGATAGTTATGGTTATTTCAGACCATTATTTGTAGTATCTTAGACGCTCATGTATTTGTGACACCAGATCCGGGGTTGTATTTAAATGTCGTCACTTATTAGCTTATTTATCTTATTTTAGACTATTCACTTTCCTTAT